AATAAGGGAATCAACAGTACAGGAATCTATTCACATCTATTTGGAGGACACTCATGCTCTCCTAAAACCAAGGGGCCCAGAGGAAACAGATAAAGTTGACTACACTGTTAACATTGAATCCTGCAGCAGTGCTAGCTTTACTGGTGGGACTGCAGCAAACAACAAAGAAATACTTAAAGCTCACAAGCTGCTCTGCAGTGGGATCGATAAAGTAAATATTTGTAATAATACTCTGTATAGGAAGTGGTTTGGGTGCTTTACAACTGCACGAGAATCAAAAGTAAAGGCTGTCTATAAAAAAATGAGGGATGGGTTGGAAGGTAACACAGTTACTTATGTCCATGGTGGCTCATACTGTGTGACTAATCCTAATTGGTATGGCTATACCTGGAGAGCTTCAGCCAGACCTGGTCTCAATACTGTTTGGATTTGTCCTCCTTTTTATCCATTTCCTATTTCTTGTGGAAGCCCTGGTACTTACACCAAGGAGTTTGGGCTGATTCATGAATGGAGTCATGCTTTTGGTGATACATTTGATCATATATATGGCTCCTCTCAAAGTCAAAACTTGGCTAAAACTGATCCTGATAAAGCAGTTGAAAATGCTGATAACTATGGATGGCATTACTGCGAATGGCAGTAACTGGATCAGGCCGTTCATCAAAGCCAAGAACTTAATATTAGGACTCATGCAACACTATAAGGACATGCACTTTTCTTTAATAAATAATTGTAATTAATTGTCACATTTTTGATTTCTTGGCTCAATAAATAATAATTTTCAAAATTGAGAATTTGTACAATACATGACATTGCGAGCTTTACAGAATGCACCATTGCTGCCCTGATACTGATGCCCTCAAGCTTTGGCAGTCTACATCATACAATGTATATTCATTACACATAAATCATGTCACTGCTGTTCATGATATTACAACTAGCAGCATGAGTCCAGCTCTTTTGTTCAAAAACATTTTCTCCATATTTGGTAACAGGATTGATGCACTTCACAGTTACATGTAGACTAGGTCTTCGTTGTTTTTTTGTTTATGAAATAAAAAATTTTGGCATTGCCTTACAAAAACTAGCAACCGAAATAAGCTCAGAATTGCTGATAGCCGCCATTTTATTTCATTGTGACCACAACCACTTTCAATGAAGATTAGGCTATTTAACTTTAATAATAGTTAGACGACCCTATCCCTGTGTACAAACAGACTCGTCTTAGTGGGGCTTGCTCAGGCTTGCCCCAATAATAAAATAATATTAATAATAATTAGTGATGTGGTGGTCAGGTAATGTACTTACGCTGATGTCCTAGTGCCTCTTGATAGGTGGGAGGAGCTAGCACCAGTCACTGTACTGGAATCAGAGAATAGATCACCTTCTCTTTCATCAATAGCATAAGTACCACCTGTAAACAACAACAATAAACAACAACAACAACGTGTCAATGTACTTTCTATTGCTTCCATTTTCTTTTTCTTTTCTTCCCTGACAGTTTTTAGTCTCTCGCTATGTTTGACGTAAAGTTCCTCTCGAGTCTCAATCAGTAACAAGAAGCTTTTATGAGCTAACGAAATATAATAATTAATAATTTATTACATTTTCTGATACATAATTATTATACCCAGTATATACGTTGAGGTACATGCATACAATTTCAGCTGATTCTAACTAAAAACTTTTCCCAGTTATGAGCCCATGGTTTTTTTTCAAAAAATGGCTTCGATATCACCCCCAATTTTTATTACATTTTCTGATTCATATTGATGTCCTTATGCTGCGTAGAAAGTTTGAGCTGATTCCAACTTAAATTTTTCAAGTTATGGCCATTTTAAGAAAATGCCAAAATTCTGAAAAATACCCAAGGCTATAGCCCATGATTTTTTCCAAAAAATGGCTTTAAAATCACCCCAAATTTTTATTACATTTTCTGATGCATATTGATGTCCTAATGCTGTGTAGAAAGTTTGAGCTGATTCAGACTTCAATTTTTCAAGTTACAGCCATTTAAAAAAAACGCCAAAAATCTGAAAAAATACCCAAGGCTATAGCCCATGGTTCTTTCTAAAAAATGGCTCTGAAATCACCCCAAATTTTTATTAAATTTTCTGATACATATTAATGTCCTAATGCTGTGTAGAAAGTTTGAGGTGATTCCAACAGTAAATTTTCAAGGTATGACCAGTTTTCAAGTTTGAGCTGAATCTGATTATTAATTACCTTCGATTAAACTTGGTTTAATTAAGCTGTCAATCAATTCCAATTTATTATGCAAATGAATCTAATAAAAAACAAGTTAATCAATTAATTTATTCCACACTTACATATCTCAGAGACTCCGCCCACAATCCCCCACTAATAAAAGCAGACACGCCCCCTTCAATATCCTAATTAACATTAATCACTTATTAATTAACAATAAGTACATACGTGGGCGTGGTCAATCAATATTCTACCTGCCCCCTCGTACTGACCCTGTGACATCATGTGACCTAATAATAATTAAAAGAGTGGGTGGGTCATTATAAAGTGGGTGTGGTCATACTAGATATCCTTTTAGCGATAACCAATACTTCGTCTTGCAAGAGACCCAGTACTGAAGTCATGTTAAACACCAGCTCCCAGTGGCCACCTCTCTCATAAGCTTTCATTGCCGACTGGTACTCACAGCAAGACTCAAAGACTATACAAGAACAGGTGACGTAATAGCGGAAAATTTCCATGCCTCAAAATTTTCATGGATTTTGCAACTTTAAAATTTGCAAAAAAATATGATCCACAAAAATTGATTTAATACAATTGAAAGTATAAAACCACAAAAATTATACTTTCCACAAAATTTGCCACAAAATTGATTTTTGAATGGACCACAAAATTTCTGGGTCATGGAAATTTTCTACTACATGGTATTAATAAGAATACTACTAACTGTTGCTATATACTTACTGATTCCAGCTTCCAAGTACTGGCCTTCTGTCATTAAATATTCACCAAATAATTGACTGACAGTTAAATGTTCGTTTGACTTCTGATCAATGAATAATTCAAGAGCTAATCTGTACAAAGACTGATCTTTAATCAGTGTAATACATTCATCGAAGTGGTCTGAAGCTAAACAAACAAACAAACAAACAAATAAACAAACAAATAAATAAATAATGTAAATAAATAAATACTTACTTGTACATTTGCTGATACACTCCAGTGCTTTGTGATAACGTTTCAAGTACATGTTAATACGATACTGCTGATAATTAACGTCTTTAATTGATTTCAACTCATTCAAAAATGGCAGATACTCCTTAGGGTCCTGAAAAACAAGTACAAAGCACGTTAGCTCATTAATTATAAAATATTAATTATAAATCATTATTATTGAAACGTACTTTTTGACTTTTCTCGGCGACGGTAAGTACCAGTTCAAAATCATACAGTCCAAGTGCTGTATCATACAATTTATTGACATCAATTAATAATAATGAATATTTTAATGCTTCATCAACACTAGGGGCTGTAGCTATGAAAAGAGTTTAATTAATTATTAATTAATTGATTAATTAATACTTTTATCTAGTTGTTTTATCGTTAGTAAAGCATTTTCAATTTCTTGAGGCATTTTCTTTATATGGCAAGTTATAATTGGTAGGGCAAACCTATTAATAATAATAATAATAATAATAATAAATAAATAAATAATTATTAATTACTTTGTTCCTCCTATGCTTGATAAAGTTGTTACAATTAATTGACATATTTTATTGGTTTTAGATTCATTCCCATACCAAGAGGAATGGGAACCAGTTTCTTTAGACAATCCTGGAACCGGATACATTGATTGAGTGACATCTTCATTCCTATGTACAATTGACTCCGCCTACTGACCAAACCCACTTACTTTAATTCCGTAATAAATAAATTAATATAATTAATATTATCCAATTGATCTATGAATAATTTAATGTTTGATATAAACGTCAGGGGGTTGTGATCGCAAAGCAAATTCAAATTAATTCGGTGCTTCCGCATAATTAGAAAAGCTTTCCCAAACTCCAGCCTATCGAAATACAGTCACCATGATGACAACAGCGTTACTATGGCAACCTACCTATCAAGATGGCCGCGTATTAAACTCAGCACAAGAGGGCGTGGTGATATCGTCTCCAAATTGCCTCTTGGCATTTGAAGAACCACTCTTGTATCATTAACCATACTCACCACTAACAAACTGCCCCTCTCTACCGATCGGGACAATTCTTCAGTAACGTTGGATATATCTAATTTTAAAAGGTGTGGTTAAAGGGTGTGGCTTAATAGGTGGGGCATTTGCTAACCGTTCTTGGGTATAGTTATTAACTGGTGGTTGCTAATAGTTATTAAAATGAACTCGCTTGTAATTGAATATGACGTACAGGAACTATGGACCTAATACATGTAATAATAATGATGAATATTAATTAGTAGTGGGTGTGGTCAATTACCAGTTCATTATTAATTATTAATTGATTTCTTTCGGATGAAAGCCCAATCACACACTCCTAAAGGAAGAAATGCCATCAACAATATAAATAAAATAAAATAATAAATATTACCTCGTTGCCGATGGTTGCTAGGGACAACTGATCAGACCACACCCCCTTCAGGATCACATGATCTCCGGTAGACGTTAAAAATGGACTACACTGGCCTAATATACACATATACATGTATTCTAATTAAGTGAATTTACCGTTTTTGTAAGTGAAAACTTTTCCCTTGACATCTTCGAAAATGATGGTTCCCGTATCTGGGTTGCCATGGAGACACAAGACACGCCCATCACAAGAAGTAGACATCCTATAAATTATCGTAAACGACAACAATAAACAACAACAACCTTTCAGTGACACAGGATTCATTAATTTCGTATTCAGCAATAGAGTCTTCATCACATGATTTGTTGACTACGCCCACTAATAAACCATCAGTCGCCCACACAATCTGACGCAACTTATGAATAGAAAAACCATCACCTTCCATACATGGAAACCTAATAATAATAATAATAATAACAACAATCATACAAGGAAACCTAATAGTAAGACATTAATGAATCTTTGTCACCAATTTCTAAGTAATAATCATCATTCCGACTTTCTCTGAGGTAAAAATTACCTAAAAACTGTTGCCCTCTTTAGTAAAAATTAGGCAAAAATTGTGGCCCAAATTAAGGTTGAAAAAAATCACATTTTGAGTTAAAAATGTCGCCCACTTTGAGATAGGAATTGTCACATTAACGAAGATGATAATGATCAATCATACCTGAGGTTAGTTAAGGAGTATTCCATCTTAGTGCTGGACTTTGCAACATAAACTGATCCATCAGACAGTACTATAAGGAGGTCGTTAGGAGTAGGGGGTGGGGCAAACGTTGCCATGACAACAGGAGACGGGAACATAATTCGCTTATGACTCATCGGGGGAGGAATGATAACGTCACGAAAAGGTGTCAATAATAACGCCTCTAATGATATTCATGATTATTAATTAATTAATTAATTATACCTCCGTCAATTACTGCCACTGTTGAATTATTATTAATATTTAACGAGGTACTAGTGACCACACCCCTCTTCCAATTATACTGTATATACTGACCATCTAAAATAAAAATAAATAAATAATAAAATAATTTAATTTGATTTACTATTCAGCAAGGTGTGAAGACGTAATGGCATAATTGGATCCCATACAACACCTGTATAATGAGTGGGTGTGGTCTCATCAGTGGGTGTGGTTTTTGGCGACTGTATCTCTTGTTTAAGATACCAGTGATAGTTACTAACAGACCACAACTGAACTAGTAAAAAGAAAAACATACATGTAGATTACTGTATAACTATATACAACTTTATTTTAGCAATTATGGTTATAATTTTTATGATTATAATTATGATTTATAATTTTGCAATGAAGCAAGAAACTGCGAAATTCACAAAAATACTTCACTGCAACAATAAACTGGTACAATACTGATCATGGACATTAATGATTGGTGGGTTAATATACTGGGGGATTTCACTTGCAAATCGCCAATCACCAAATTAAAACTAAGTCAAATTAAAGTGCTATAGAGTACATCGTAATTTACTGTATGATTTCTTGTCTTTATCGTTAGTCTCCAGCCACACTGCTAAAACTGATGAGTCAGCATTCCACGATAATCCTTTGACAATGACTCCACCCCTCCTGAGAGGGAACTCTCCATGCCTTAGGGTATTCCGCTCATAAAAGACAATGAGAACTGATCCACTAGTCTCAGTCAGTGATGAGGCTATGAGGTGACCTCTTGACGACCAGTCGATGAATGGGCCCAGACTAACGATGGACTCTGAACTAGAGTGTAACACGCCTTCTCTTGACCACACCCGGAAACACCTCAAACCTATTCATTATTAATTGAATTACTAATTATTAATTGGGTGACTGGAGCTGATAAAATGTACTATTTTGGCAGTTAATAAAATTTGTCTTTAAAACAAAAATTGCCAACTTGCAAGTGCTTCTCTGACAAAGCTCTGTTTATATAAAACTAGCAAAAAACTTTTTACACTCAGTCTAAAAAGATAAGTTTAACTTGACATGTACAAATCAGCCCTTCTTTCATTGCAAAGATGAATTTAATTACCTGCCAAATGCTGCCTTTTGTCATTTTCAGTCACAATTATTATTTATCAACTACCTGTATTTTTATTAATGGAGGATATTACAAAATATTCCCCATCTCCTCTCCAACTGATGCAGTCTCCTGTTGATTGATGGGTGGAGTCAATTTCCTATTAATTAATTAATTAATAGTAGCCACACCCATTAATTAATTATTACCTTTTTGGGTAGGGCATGAGTTGAAGGTTTTCCTAACGAGCCATGAAACTGGGTCTCTTTCTTACCCCAACCAAGGGACACAGGCTGGGCTTTAAATAGAAATATCATTATTATTATTATCATTGTTATTATTATTGTTACCTTCGCCAGTTTCAGAGCTACTAAAGTCCTTTTCCAGTATTACGTCAAAATCTCTCGTCATTAATATGAAATTCCCAATCCCCGTTACCATAACAACCAGATCCTGATCAGGGCTCCACCCCATGCTGGTGATTCCATCGCTAACTGAGCCAACCACACCCACCTAACTAGTATAAACCACACCCTTTTAATTGATACCATACCTCATTAATATTCATAGTGTATGTAATCACTTCTCCTTTTCTTGTAGCGATACAGACCACGCCCATTTCAGGCAAATACTGCAATCCAATTGGTCGGTCATCACTAGTTAATACGTCAGACAGTGAAATCACGTGATCTTCCTTTAAAAAAAAAACTAATAATAAAACATTAAAAATTTCTCTGTACCTGGTGTCGGCCATTTTGTTGTGAAGAAGTGAATTGTAGAGACTCTCCAGAGATAAACCAGACCCCGTCCCTATCAGGATCAGGAGAGAGGAGGGAGGGGGAGGGAGAGAGAGGAGCAGACACGTAACAAGAACTGAGAACGAGGTTCCTCATTTTCAATGATTTGGCGGGAGCCTATACTGCGCATGCTCAGTCAGTCCATAACCATTGTCATTAGTTAACTAACTTTCCCGCCTTTTTTCATCAATTTAATTTAAAATTAATTTATTTTAGACAAAAAAAAAAACACAAAAATGACAAGACAGAATGCATCAGTTCATAATAATTATTAATTAATTGTTAATAGTCTAGCCAGTAGTAGGATTACAGGAGATACAGCAGGCATTACGAATAGCTGCTACTGAACACATTGAACTGGGTACAGCTGCACATAAGAAACTTTCACCAGTACAATCAGCTAAAAGAAAGAAACAAACAAACAAATAAATAAATACAGTGTAACTGGAAATATTAGCAGAGAATTAAATTAGCAGTTGTAAAGAGAACCCACAAATATAAAATCTGCCATTTTGCTTCATTCTGAGCATGCTAAATGACAAGTGGCTCCTAAAATAAAACACTGTTCTATTTCAGGCAACAAATTTGACACACATCAAAGTAACCACAAAGTTGCTTTCAACAAAGTTGCTATACTGGATGTTGGGCTTAAATTGTCAAAATATAAAATCAGCAAATCGTAAAATTTTCACAAATTGCCAAACATAATTCTTGCTAGTATTTCCAGCTGTATGCCAGTTACCATTAGGACAAGGTGATCCTGTATCACATTCTCTCGTGACTGGAGGCTTGGGTCTATTGGAACAGAATGAATCATCAGGTGCTTCTAACTGAGAGATGACATTTTGACATGTCACAGTCCTAGATTGAGTACCTCTTCCACAAGTAACACTGCACTGTAGATAAACAACAACAACAATAACAACAACAACAATAATAATAATAACAAAATGACATTACCAATGTTATGCTTCTGAGCAAATTTGCATTTTAAAAGTTGCTCCAAAATCAAAAACCCTGTACTATATTATAGTTGGCAAATTCTCAGGAAAAGGAGAAAATCTCAATTTTTATTACATTCCCTGATACATGTACCTGTACTTATGTTGTGTAGAAAGCTTGAGCTGATTTTGATCAAAATTGGATTTTTTACGAATTTTTAAATTTGCTCAAAAATTGGACTAAAGCCCCTGTACTATAATACAGGGATTTTAGTCAAATTTCGCCAAAAATGAAAAGGAGAAAATTCTCCATTTTTATTACATTTCCTGATGCATATACATGTACTTATGTTGCGTAAAAAGTTTGAGCTGATTCTAATCAAAATTGGATTTTTCACAAATTCTTAAAGTTTCTCCGATATCTGGTCAAAGTCCCTGTACAGTACATGGCATATTTCATGAAAAATGACCTTGGAGAAAATTGCATGTACATGTACTCACTGATCCATAATGAGACACAACCCATGAGTATAAAGGAGGGCACTCTCCCACTCCACAGATATGGGTAGTGATTGGTCGGATCAATCCCTCAGCCATACAAAGACTGTCAGGAATAAACTGCTGAGTCATCACATTATAGCACCTGACTGTTCGATTCCTCAAACCACCCATGCAAGTACTAGAACACTGTTAATAAAAAACTTAATAACTATTATTAACTACTTATTAACTGACTGGGCTCCACCTATCCACCACGTATTGATAAGGACACAAGTGTATGTTGCATTGTTCAATGGTTCTTGGTTCGGTTCCAGCTATACAGAACCGGTCATCAATGGTCATATTGGTAACAGAAGACACACAGGTGATGTTCCTCGTACGATAACCTCCATTGCAAGTCTTGTTGCACTATAAATAAAGAATAGACTTTTATTTTAAGGAGCAAAATTTTTTGCGAATCTAACATGAATTCAACACGCAACAGTTAAATTGTAAGGACTTGGTACTAAAATTGGAAAACTGCTAAAATAAATTAATTTTGGCCTATAAGATAAGACTTGTGAAGTTTTTGCTATTTGTGACAATAAAGAGTTCTAGAGTATGTTACATCATAAAGAGAGAAGAGTACTTACCATGCTCCAGGGCCCAGCCCTCCAATCAGGGCAGGGATACACGTTACAATCCATTGTGAGGTTAGTCGGGAAGAGGGAGTGGTTAGCTAGCCGCTGACAGAAGGAGTAGTCAACCCTTTCGACTTGTACCCCCGACCTGAAGAGGTGGCATTGAACTTCACGGGTCTTTTTGCCGCAGTTACAAGAATGAGAGCAAGAAGAGAAGTCTGTTGTAGTGTAACGATATTCTTCATCAGGACTAAGAATAATAATAATAATAATAATAATAATAAGAATAATAATAATAATAATAATAATAATAATAACAATAATAATAATAATAATAATAGTAATAATAAAAATAATAATAATCCATAATTTAACTTCATCCTTATTAAATTATTATTATTATTTTTTAAACCTCTATCAACCTAATTATTTTTATTTCATTTTTCATCCTGCCCTAACTCTGTCCTAATTCTAACTTTCATTAATAATAACAATAATAATAACAATAATAATAATAATATTAATAATGTTAATGTTGCTCATACCATTGAGGCAGATTCAAACATTGTCGTGCTTGTTGTCTTGGTCTGAGGGTTAGTGGTACAAACAAAAGATCAACTGGAGCAGGAGGGCCAGTATCTACTGTCCTGTTGCAACTGAAAATAAATCTCTGGGCACCTTTAGTATACAAAATAAATAAATAAATAAATAAATAAATAAATAAATAAATAAATAAATAAATTAATTAATTAATTAATTAATTAAAATGCTAGTATTACCCAGTCCACAAGTCGTTGTACAAGCAGAAAATCCAGTCTGTAGACACTCAAAAGCTGAAGGAAAGAAAATAATAATAATAATAATAATAATAATAATAATAATAATAATAATAATAATAATAACAATAATAATAATAATAATGATCATCTTTTAAGAGGGCCAAGGGTTATATTGTATAATGGGTAGTATATTTAGTCAGTGGTTCTAAGCTGAACTAGAAATTTTTGCTTATTTCATCTTCATTTTGAGCAGCCATTTTGTAAGCATGGCAATGAAGAAACACCTTTTTCGTTTGGAAAATATTCGTTCCACGAGAAGGAATCAAAACAAAAGAACAAAAATAATAAATCTCTGACAGAACACATACCCACCATACTGCAGCACTGTAACTATAAAGACTTACTCTCTCCACAGACAGTAACTGATTGAGATACATTGCTCACTGGATTGGTAGCAGTGCACACATACTCAACACAACGGGTTGAAGCAAGGCTCCTTATAAGGAGTGAGCCATCTGGCTGGATATCAAAAGCAACATTATCATCAACTATTGGTCGACCACCGGCCGTCCAGGAGACCATCGGAGTGGGGCTACCGGACGATGGGCATAATATCTATAATAATAATAATTAATAAATATTATTGTTGTTATTATTATTATTGTTATTATTGTTGTTATTATTACTTGTATTTCGTCCATCATTTGTATTCTGACTACTTCCCTTCTACTAGTTCCAACACTGAGAATCCTCCGAGAACCAACATTAACCGGTCTGAAGTTTGAGGGTACAGTAATCACTGGAGCAACTGTAAACAACAACAATAAACAACAAAAACAACAACAATAAACAACAAAAACAACAACAATAAACAACAAACAACAATAAGTATATACTTACCTCCAGATACGTTGAGTTGTGATCGTACAGAGACTTGATCAGTTGAATTGCCTGGTGGGTCGGCCACACAATAGTATAACGAGTTCATATTCAATGAATTAATTAACAGAGAATTATTAGGGAATATGGTAACACCAGAACCACTGACCACTGACACATTGTCTCCAGCAGAAGCTAAAAGAAATTAAAAAAAAATTAAAGTAATAATAGTAATACAGGATAGCACTTTAATTTGGCAAAGTTTTAATTTTGCAATTGGCAATTTACAGGGGAAACTGCCTCTCTAAAACCACCAATTATTACTCAATTTAAAATGGCAAATTAGAATTTCATAGCAAAATACAATA